ATAAAAATATGACTGCAAAATTTAAAGCATGCATAATACAAGATTAGTTAAGGTTTTGCATTTGGCAATAACTAGTATTTGTTAAAACTTAAATTTTAACAGGCATTTTATAAATTTAATGTTTTACTATTGTAACCCCTATTTAACCCCCCCCCCCCAAAATTTTGCTTGATGAAATTATTTTCAGACGAAACTGACAAACATACATTCCTTCCGATTAAACATTTAACTGTGTAAAATGGAATCTAATGGCAGCTGTTCCTAAGCAAGACAATAAATTCATTAAAGACAAAAATATTAATGTAAATGATATTTTTTATCTTTCTATTTCTAAAGTAATAGTTGGATTAAAAAAAGTTTAAGCAAATTAAATGATGGCACATGCAGAGTAAGAAGAAGATTATCAGATATAAATTATGAAACTGATCTCCTTGCTGAACCACAAAGTAAGATATTATACATATAAATATGATAAAGAAAGTGAAGCTGTGAAATTTTTCCTGATTCCAAGGGAACTTGAGGATGAACATTTAGAAAAAAAAAATCATTTTGATTGTGAAACAGAAATTCATGAGCCTCACCTGGTATATGAACCTCAAAATTCCTTGAATATGATTTTAAGATTTTGGACTTCTCAACAACTGAGAAACAGAACTTTAAAAATAAATTATGATTCCAATACATGATAAAGTATTGCAAATTGGCAGTAATGACATTAATCATAGTTGACTGATCAGGAACCATCTGTCAAATATAATCTTCATCCAAGAGACAATTATGGTTTTATTTGGAAATAAAACCTTTGATTTGCGGTTTTATATATAATGCAATGCTATATTTTTTCTCATCCATTTTAGCTCAAATTTGATGAATACTGCGTGTATAATAACAATAATCATTTTGATAGCAGTATCATAAAAATTTTGTTATACCATATCATAGTATGATTCAAGTGATGATAAATACTGTATGAAAAGAGAGTAGGAAATTTTATTTTAAGATTTATTTAATTATACTAATTAATATGAATTACTATATACATTAATTAGTTATACTAATTAATATGAACAATGCCTTTGTAAGTCAGTACTTTGATTCCTTGTTTATATATTATCATTATCTTTTTCATAATATTTGTTTGTATATTATGAGAAAGATAATGTTCTCTTAGAGAATAAATTATGACATACAATAAATTATGCAGATAATTCTGTTTGTTGTTTCACATTTTGCCATTTGCATTTGTAAAATCTTGGATAATTTTAATATATAAGTTGTTTTAGTTTTTCAGTTTCAATTGAAACAATAATTAGTTTGCCTGCTTTGTATATAATGCAGTTTGATAGATAAAGTTTTTGCTAATAGAATCATTTAAGGTAGGATTATGTATATAAATATATAAATAAAAAGGTTAAAAGTATATTAATATTTTTATTTTTCACCTGGTGCATAAGGAATGTTATAATGAAAGTCTTGGTGACTCATTGGGGTTGTATAACTAACTAGTTATAACCTTGGCATAAAGAGTGCCAGACTAGAACGGATTGATAAGAATTAAAAAGAATTCTTCTTTTAAAAGGATTCTTCTTCTCCCCCCCATGCGAGAACGAGAAATGGTGGATGATCTGGGAGTGATCTATGAATTTATTCAAACAAAAAGTAAATGAATTTTCTATGAGTTTTTTAATGAAAGTTAAATAATTTTGATGACTCTTCAAGGAGCCAGCAACCTAGGAGTACTGTGCTCCCATTTACTGTAACAATAATAAGCTCTCAAAGGAAAATTTTGAGCCTTAACCATAGTACATGCAAAGGAACTGATTTCTTAATTGAAGTTGTGGCTGGGCTAGCTTGTGCCAAAAACCTAGGACTTTGAGAAATAAACTTTTAAGTGTGTATGAGAGAATAATAAAACATCTATTCAAGTTATTTCAGAGTGTTATTTCACAATACTTGCATGATTAATGAAGGATAGGGCAATGCTAATCATGGGAATGGGTCATAATAATTGACTAATCTTTATTTAGTATGATACAGGTATGAAAAGTTATGTTTTCTGATAACATTGATTCATGCAAAAAACAAATAAAAAATTAGTTAATGAAGAATGCATCAGTAGTTAAAAATAATAATAATGGAAAAGAGCAATCTTGATATCATGTTTCTATAATCTGTACTTTAAAAAATTAAATGTTTAACTAAAATTGTTTGTTAAATTAGTTCAAGTAATTTTTACTTAATTTTTTTTAATGCCATATATTTGAATAAATGCAGTGGTTTCTAAGAATTGAGGAAAAATCGTGAAATTTATGATAATTTATAATGAAAATAAAGCATTTTATAGAAAATTTAGGTGTATCCTTAATAAATTGAACTCAAATATAATATTGTTACTTTTTTGTATTTATTTAGCTATATTTAGTAGAATTAATTAAAATTGTTTTATATTCCTGTGCAATGCAGCACAAGACTTTTTTGAAGAGAAAGCTATGCCAGAAAAAATCTAAATACAGGAGCACGAGCATTTAACATTTTAATAAATAGATATCTCATAATTGTATTCTTTTTAGCTATACAGAAAAATTGAGAAAATACCATAATGTTCTTGTGCAGGATTAAAAATCTTATAAAAGCTGGATCAAAACATCTCAATTCATTCGTTCATTAGTTGTTTACTTAGTGTTGTTATTGACTGTAGCGAATTTGCGGCGAGATCGGATTAGCTTTCTCAGTGTTTTGAATTGAGTTCTATTGAATGTTTTATTAGTTTAAAATATAACTACTGTGAGATATTGCAATATTGTACGAATATCTCTGAGGACATTTCAGCATTTTGTTATATTTGTAGTGATAAGAGTAAATTTTATTCACTTTTCATCGGACTTGTGTATTTAATTTATTATGAACCCGTACACATGCAACAATATTCAAAATAATGAGTAATCGATTTGTATTATGGAACAAGAAAATAAATCTACATGTTTTGAGAATGAAGCTGGGCAAATTCAGATAGAGGTTGGAGAGATGAATAAATGTAAGACTTTCTCAGTTTCATAATTTTTAATGTAGTTATGGATATGATTTCTAGAAAAAGCAGCAAGTTAAGAGCTAGAATGAACATCAGAAACTAAATCTTTATTAATGGGCAAGAAGGCACATGAATCCTACTAAAATCTTCTCTTCTGACAACTACTGAAAGTATACTATCGTAATCTCTTGAATGCTGAAGACGTCATGCAAGAGATTTATATGTAAAGCCACCAACAATTTGCATACCTCTTAACTGTGAGAAGATGAGATTGTATTTGCAGTAGACAGATCAATATGGTTATTGCAGTACCAGATAAATGGAGGCTTTTTCTTTTCTTGGATGAGTCTTTAGCTTTCAAAATAATGACAAGTCTTTCTTGATTTAAGGAGACATGAGAACTGGTGTCATCATTCAGACACTCTTGAAAGAGAGTTATTTGGAGAAAGCAATATCCATGTTTGAGTTAAGATGTCTGTAGGTGGCTGGTCAGAATTTTTGTAAAACCGAGATTGTTTGTGTGTATAGAAACAATATTCTTGATGCTTATGCAGGTGCAGTAGATGAAAATTTTGATTTAGAAGATAGCAATACGGTAACAGTTCTGCATGTAGAGTAGCCAGCTTGATCTTTTTATTCAAATCTTAGTGAGTAGTTCTGGGATGCTCTAAGTACATGTATTACTGCTGTTATGCCCGTCCTCCTCAAACTCTTGCCATGACTGGAGCAGTTTTGATAACAATTGACTTCACTCATTATAGATCTCATAGACACTTTTATTCACTACTTGGAACATTGCATTAGTTGATATATTGTTGCTCAGAATAATCATATTCTATATTGCTGATATTTACATTTTGTGATTTTCATTCATATGCTGATTTTGAAAGTGAATTAAAAAATTGATTTTATATCTTTTTATAGCTTATTTTTTATATGTTTTGGTTAAATTTTCATATCAGCCAAACAAAAGTTTATAAATAATTGCAGTTTTGGGATTTTTCCATGGTGTTCTGAATGAAATGTTGAGTATTGTTGAATTTTTAAAAAAGTATATGTAATGTGTGTGTATTTAATAAAACAGTATTATAATCTCATTCATATAAAGCAAATTAAATTTTAAATTATGAAAATTCAATTGCAAGCAAAATAAATTGATTAATTATTGCTGTAAATTAATTTGCTATATCAAATTCAAAAAACATAAGTAAATAAAGTGAAAGCATGTAAATACTAAAAAAACGTAATGCAACCCCAAAATTTTTACCTTAAAAGCCTTTACAATTTTAAAAATAAATTTTAATATGCATAAACTGAATAATTATTGAGTAGGCAGGAGACAGATCTTTTCAAGGGGAAGTTGCCCCCAAACCTAATTATTCAATTATGCAATTCACGTTTCGCCAACTGTACAGGTATAGGTAAAGAAACACACAAAACCAAAAGTAATAATATGTTAAAATGAGAAATTAATATTTAAGGAATTTTCAAGAAATTAAAAAACAAATCCACAGTAGGAATTGGGGGCAACTTCTCCTTAAAAAGCTCTGTCTCCTGCCTGCTCAACAATTATTCACTTTATGCAAATTAAAATTTATTTAAAAATTTTGAAAGGTTTTTAAGATAAAATTTTTGGGATTGTATTACGTTTTTCTAGCATTCACATGCTTGCACTTTATTTATGTTTTCTGAATTTAATGATATTTCAAATTAGGCCACATCAATAATTAATCAATTTATTTTGTTTGCAATTTAATTTGCTTTATATGAATGAGATTATAATATTGTAATTATTAAATTCATATTTCATTCCTTGCAGCATTGGTGCAAAATAATTATTTAACTTTACAAATTAGTTTTTAATGAAACATTATAATGTGCATGTATATACTTTTTAATTATATTTTCTTAAACTTTTATTAGCATTGTATTATATCTTAGAGTTAAAAATAATGAGCTGACTTCTTTTTAGGGTGCAGTTACTGATGTTCAAATCCACGCTGAACGGCTGTTATTTCATAAGAAACAAATGAATAGTATATTGGCTAAACACACAAAGCAGCCAACTGAAATCATTGGTATGATTTTCTTTCTAAATTTAAGTATTGAAATTTCTTTTTGTTATACATCTGCATATAAAATTTTGCATTTTTGTAATAGTGTTAGCCGTTGTATTAAAAAAAAAATTGCTTTGATAGAGATTCTATAGATTGATTTGATTCAATAGAAGTGATTACTTTTTTTTTATAAGATTTCTATCTGTTGATGTATCTGCATAAATAAAAATTAATCTTTATATATTTCCACTAAAATTTTTTCTCTTATTTCTAATGATCATTTTAAACATTTCAGAATTATTTCAGTTTTTGTGATGAAGAGCTCTCAAACAACATTTTTCCTTTTGGAAATGCGAATTCTTTTATTAAACGGCTCTAAATTTGGTGATTATCAACATTTTGGCGATTTTAAGATCGGTTTCTATAGAAAATTTTTAATTCCGAGATCTGGGAATTTTTTGACGATTTTTTTAGAACATTCTAACATTGATAAATTTCATTAAAATAATGGTAATATATTGGAATTATATTTAAGAAATAACATTAAATAATTTTTATTTTTCACTTGTCATATAAAGTTCCATTTTGACCACATATTATACAATTTTTTGAATCTGAAAAATAAGCAAGGAATAATGCTATAAAGCACAGTTTACAAAACAGTCTCTAGCAAAAGCAAAATAGCTATGTAATTAATTAAAAATGTCTTTTTAATTTTTTCATGGTAAGAATTTTTCCCATTTCTCAGAATGATCAGAATTCTCAGAAAATGCATCAGTTTTCTCTATAAAATTAATTTCACACTTTTTTCCTCCAATTTTTTCAAAGCGTTCTAGCTTTTTGCTGTTACATAATTGTGGGGGTAATTTTCTTTAGGATTTAGACATTGAAGCTTGGAAAGTTTAGAAAGATTTAAGGCAAAATTTATAGACCCATGATTCTAAAAGATTCCAGAAAAATGTGATAAAATGAAAAAGTCTCCATGGTAGTACATGCAGTTTCTTACATTTGGAGAACATCTGACGAGCAATGAAAATATAATAGTTGATGTTTTACTTCTGATCTAGAATGCTTTTTTAAAACATTTTTTATCTTCTCTTTATTTTCTTACTTTCACTGATTAGGCATGGAAATATCAAAAGTACTTAATCTTATCATATGGAAAGGCTTATAAAAAGGATTTTTTTATTAATAAAGAAATTGAAACATGACAATTCAAAGATTCATCTAACATGTCTTAATGCATCATTACACAGAGCGGCGTAAGGGATTTTGCCACCTGACGCAGTCTCTGTGGATCCTAAATTTTGCTGCTTGTTGCCTTTCTAAATTGCTTCCAATGCCTGCTCTAAATTCTAAAAGTTTGCCATTTCTAGATTTGTTGCTCATTGTGTCCTAAATTCAAAAATTTGCCACACCAGCTCTGGACCAGACTTTACCATATGTATTTCATATTTCTTCTGAATGTTCGCATTACTAAAGAAATAAAATTAGCAGCTTTTTCCATACATTCTAAATGCATTTAGTCTTTTAGAAGTCTTTAATTAAATCCCAAAAATTTAAAGTGAAAAGGAAACGTGTTGAAAAAAGAAACTGAATATGTAAAGAGAAGAAAATTATTCTTCAAAGATATGTACAGTTATTATTATGTAAATTACCCAGTTATTTACAGTTTAAGCCTTTACTTTTAATTTCCCATTTCTATTTCCTCACCAGAATGCAAATCACTTAGTTTTTAAAAGGAAGTTTTTGGAGTGTAAGACGAGTATGTTTCTGTCCTCCACTTGCTCCCTGCATTAGTTCTGTCAGCTCTGATAATTTGTAATTATTAGTCTTTCCATTACTGCTGCTGACATTTGAGTTTATTATGACAATAGAGTTCCTGAACTAAATTGAAATTAAATTGTATAGTCTTTAACCACTAGTCCATATTTTGAGTTTGAATTTGACTTGTTTAATTATATCAGCACAAACTAATTGATTTTGTTAGCATAAGAACAGGCCTATATGTTCCAATTCTTTTTGAATAAGAAGCTTATTTGAACCTTTATTGAAATTTATTATCTGATTTATAATTACTTTCAGATATAGTGATAATTTGTTTCACATCTGTCGGGAGGGGGGGGGTCGGACTGTTAACTTTTACCATATCAAGTAAACCCTAATAGGTAGTACATTGTGGAGAGGTTGGCAGTTAGGATATAAAACATGCAGAAACTAATGGACATTTTTTGCTATTGAGACAATTTCTAATTGTTAAAACATGCTTAAGGAGAAGGAAATCATATAAGTTTAGCCAAAATGTCTGGGAAGGCCTACAAATTAAAAAGATGCTAATTATTGGTTGATTTTTATGTCTTTAGCTTTTAATGTGTAATTATCCTAATATTGTTTAAAAATCAATGTCATAAGCTGCATGTATTTTAAACTGTGAATTTTATGAGATTGTTATATTATAGTTTTTTTAACAATATATTAAAAATTAATTTAATTTAATAGTGGCCATGTAATCCATAAGGACTAAGGTTATCTAATACCTAATTAGTTATAACTAAATGCATTCTCTTAAAAATTATCTCTCTATATTAAAGCAAGTTATGCCTTCGTTACACTCTAAGCCGGCGTTGGTCCCTGGGAACTGGCCGGAGTTTTCGTTGCTGCATCAATCTGCAGGACCGCAGTAAGTTAAAAAATAAGTATAGTCTCAATGAAATGAGATCAAATGTAGTTTAATAAAATTTATTGAAACTTCTAACAAAACGATGGTTTAGCTTTACACAATTACAATACGAAACAATATTTTGGTAACATTTTTGGCTATCTTGCATCCAATAGTTTGAATTGTCATCATAACTTCGAGCAACTTTCGGACTTTATCCTTCTTTTTCTATAATTTCACCGCTGAACAGAAAGACAGCAAATTCGGCGCCGTGCTCAACGTGTTAACGTTTACCGTGGTCACAAGGTAAAACGTAAATATAAAAATTCATGTAAACTTATTCTTTGCATCTAGTAAGACTTATGCAAACAACTTATCACGCCTAATGCTTTAGTGGCTTAATAAAACCTTAAAGTATATTAACTGAGTTACAACCCCTGGAACTCTACACGAAGCGGACACTAACAGCGTCAGACAGAGGTCAGCTAACTTTCAAAACTTGCTACTGTGCCTACATCAGGCCTTTCAGGTTTGTTCTGATCAACAGGTCTCTCTATAGGTAAGCAGGAGCGGTGACAACAGCTGGTCTTTTGTTAGAATCATGCTGATATGATTTAATGCTCTTTTACCTATGTGCTTGACATAAAATCAGCTTACTATTACTAAACCTCTAACTGAGAAGTATGTAACAAATGAGACATTAAAAAAAAAAGAAGAAGAAAAAGAAAGAAAAAGAAAGAAAAAAAAAGATACTGTTAGTAAAACTTAACTAAAATGTCACTTACTCCTTCAATATCCAGTTATTATGAGTGTAAAATATTTAATGCTACTTGATAAATTCATAAAATTAATTCTATTCTCAACATATTATAATTATAGTAATTATGTTTAATAATAATGCATCCTACTCACGTTCAGGCATAGATATAATATTTTTAATTGAATTTATTCAGTTCCCATTTGCTCATAGGTCCTTAATTTTTTCATTAATGGTCCTTAAAAGTCCTTAAGAGTACTTAATTTCCTTGTGCAGAAATGTGTAAGAACCCTGAAAAACATGCCAGTAACACCACCTAGAAACAATGTAAAAATGAACCATAGGATGTTTTTAAACACTGAAACCATGTTTTCCCACTGTTCTTTTGTGTGTGATGTTTCAGTATGCCTTCTTGAAAAATGAATTTCAGCAAATTTCTGAGTTTGACAGATAAAGTATAGCAGCCTATGGAGACTGCAGATTATCTTTTCTAGAAACTGATACTTGTGTTGGACAGAATCAAGCCACTATTATGCAAATGTGGAATTGGTGAATGCAAGAAGGATTGGATGGACCAACAGTAGTGATTGTAGTAGACTTGTCACACCACGGAAAAAGAAGACAGGCATGTTGTGTACATAGTAATGACAAATCCCAAAGCAGCACTAAGAATCTTAGTTCAAAAATTTTGTTTTCTTGCTCTGTAGCCTGTGTTAGCACACACCATTCAATGTTGTCTGCATAAGAGATCTTTGCAAGGTATCATTCTCCAATCATTATTGATACTGTAGCACACAGATGTGTGCAGCTGCAATGATGTGTTGAGCACTATGCATAGATAAATGGATTTTATGACATCTCTTCAGACGAATCTCAATTGTGCCTACAACATCACAGTTTTTACATCTGAGTTTGCATGTATTGCAGGTGTCATGACCTTTGTGTTATGCTTCATTAAACTGCCCCTTAACCTGAGGTATTTTCTGGTTCTGGGTGCCATTGGATTTTATTTTTGTATTTGTCTAATATGCATTTCCAGCACATTTAACAGCCACCACATTTCCAGCATATTTATCACTTTGCTACATCTCTGAAATTTGAAGCTTCTTATCAGCATTCCCTTCAAGGCTTGCTCTATATGTCCAGTTCCAACTTCCTGTCCAAAGAACTCATATGACATGTAATGCCTGCATTTCTTCATTCTCTGCCTTGGCATGATCATTTTCCTTATTTGTCACTCATTGAACACATCTGGCCAGTGACTGGAAAATGTATGGCCTAGCATACTCCATCTTCAGTCATGCCAGATGAACTTTGGCATCATATAGAAACAACACAGATTAACATACTCTAAGTATGCATTCAAAGCTTTTTTATTTCATCACTGAGGCATGTTACAGCAGTTATTGCCAGCCATGGCAGCTCACAAAATAATCAATGTATTTTGGCTCTGTGTTAGCTGACAGTATTAATGCAGGGGCTGGTGTCTTTTGTAAGGTTTTTTTCATTTTAAAATGCTGTTGGAAGAAATAGGACTGCTTTTGATGCTGAGATCCCTGCTATACACATAGCTTTAGCCCAGCCTCAGTGTCAACTTTAACATTTTTCAAAGGTTGTCAAACTCTGATTCTAAAACTGCTCTTCTAGCCTTTTTTTTTTTTTTAATTTTATTTTATTGCCAGTGTTTGTTGATGATTTGAAATGTAAACAGTTTCTAAACAACTTAGGTCAAGTGGGCAAAGAGCTTGTCATGCAATGGATGCCATCACACGGTAGCCTTCATGGAAATGATAAGGCAGCTTTGTTGACACAGAAAGACCTTTTATTCTCCAAATAAATTACAGCCACATCCCTTTTTACACTGCCAAAAGAGTAATTAATAATTGCTATCGAGAAGCTTTTTGGAAAGACATTATAGAAAAAAACAGTTATAAAATAAGGATTAACAGAATTTTTGACACTCTTTTATGGCCCTGAAAGAAATCTGTTTGCTATTTTTCATCTTGTTACTGGTCATGATTGCCTTTTAAAACATTTGCTTTGAATGATCATTATTCCAACTTTAATTTGTAAATTATGCAACATTCATGAGGAAATAGATGCCTCACACCTAAGTCATTGCCCTGTACTTAATACTGGATCACTCTGGGAGAGATACTTGGAGGCAAGATACAAAATAGATTGATAGATTACAGTGTGAACTCTTTTTTTTTTTTTAATTTTGCTGTTCTCTTTCATATTTGTTTGTTCTGCCTACGGTTGTCTTTGTATTCTGTCATTCGAAATTTTAAAAAAATGTGTAATGTATTAGGTTTGAATGTTTTATTTCAGAAAAACATATGGAACGGGTTCAGCATATGACTCCAGAACAGGCTAAAGATTTTGGTTTAATAGATGATGTCTTATCACGTTCTCCTATTCTAGAAGACGAAAAAGAGACAGCCTCTGTTGAACAGTAAAATGGACTTTCTATTTTAATTATATGTGCTCAGTTGTAATTTTTGTCTTAAGACTTTTAATAAATCTTTTTGGTCATATTTTTGTTCCATGTATTATTTTCTATTAAGTAAGCGGAAAATTGAAATGTGGCTCAGAAATGTGAAATAAGTACTTTACTTCAAAAGTAAAAGTTATTCCATATTAATATTTTTTATCTCCTGCCAGCTTAGAGGTAGATTGTCTTCAGTTCAAAAAATTCGACAGTGACTATCCAGTGAATAAGCATAAATTAAGGACCTCATTGCATATATTTACTGTGATGTCTGTCTCTATATGTGTTGATTTTTTCATCCATGATAACTCTTAATGAAACTGGTAGAAATTTCCATTTTCCATGTTTAAGTTTTGCATTTAAGAGTAGATTAGATTTTGAATAAAAAATATTAAACAACTGGAAGTGGAACTTGCAGCTTATAAGAACCTGTTTACACTAGGAAGAAATCATTGCTTATTTTTTATTTTATTTTATTTTTGACTAAATAAAATACAAAATAAGCAATGATTTCTCCCTAGTGTAAACAGCTTTTTATAAGCTGCAAGCATTTGCTTCATGTGGAATATTATAATAATCACAAACTTTTTATAAAAAATAAATAATTATTTATTCTTCCACAAAGGGTTGAGTTTATAAAATTTAAAAACATCTACCTCTTGAGTTAAAATAATATTTTTTTCTTTTAATTTTATTAAATAAAAAAAACTTTACTATTATATCTGTTTTAAAAACTTAGGTATATTAAAATCATAATAAAATTCATCTTTTGAACTACAGTACACTGCCGATTACCCGCGGAATTGGGTGGTGCGGTCGCCACGGATAACAAAAATCGCGGATAATCCAAAAAAAGTTAAAAACGGGTATGGCAAAAGAGAAAACAGTCATTCCAACTTTGAAAGGTTTTATGAAAATCATTTTATAAAACGTAAATAACATCAGGAATGTTTAATTAAGCTTAATATTTTAGGTATATCACTTAAAACTAACGAAAATGCATTGTTAATGAAAACAGAAAAGTGCTTGTAACTTACGAGAGGCGACAAGGATAAAAGAAAATTAACATATGTACTGTTTAATACTGTAAGTATTATTAATTATAAAAGCATAACTGTAAAACTACCCTTTTTGAAGAAATCAGTCATTTGTGTTTGTTTCTTGCTTCGGAAGCATTTTCTCTTGATCCGAGATTGCATTTTTCGTAACATAACTTTCTCGGCCAACTCCGCGTCGTCTTGTTCTCCCAAATAGCTCAGTAGTCCGTCGACTTGGTGCAAAGCCGCTTCGTGAGTCTTCCGCATCTGGACAGTGGGCTTTTCTTCGCCTTCACTTCGTTCTCCTTCATTCTCGGTCTCTCCCCTTGCTTTCTTTACAATTTTGTCATCTGTCAAACGTTCGAAGCCAGGTTCGTTGACGTCACACTCCAATCACTCGTTAATGTTTTCAGTATCGACGTTCTCACCACCCGGAACTGTTTTCACCATATCGGCAAGAGGTGCCGTGGCGTGTCTACATTCATTCTGCTCACAACTCAAAGGAATTAGGTTGTTGTTGGCTTCAACATTAGGCATGAGTTTTCTCCTGATTTTATGAGGGTTAACGGTTCACTGAGTCCCCTGATGAATACCGTAGAGTTTGTCAGATTGTGTAGTGTTTCTAAACTCTTCAGATCATACTTCGTCATTTTTGTATTAGCAGTGGTTCGGTATGTCTATTCTTGTGCAATGACTCATGGTCTGGGGTGGATTAGTGCAGTCGACGTTGGGGGGAGAAACTTTGCAAAAATTTGGTCATCCAAAACTTTAGCATGTTTTTTGCTGGGTGGAAAGTGCGTTGGCGATTATAGCACACTTTCAGGCAGGTTTTTTCGTTAAGGATGTTTCCACTGGATAATAAAGATTTTTCAACCATTCTTGAAAATTTTTGTTTATCCATCTTTGTTTTTTTTTTTTTTTTTTGGTAAATATCACAGGCACATTTTCTATCCTTGTGCCTGTGAAAGAGCTCAGTTTTTTTTTACTTCCAATGACAAAATCTAACGTTATCCACCAGTAGGTTGGTGCAAGACATATAGTGAGCCTTCCTTTTTCTGCTTTATGACCCCCACTTTACTTTCCCTTCAATGCTAAAGTGCGAGTGGAAGACATTCTACAAAAGTCCTGATTCTCACATGTAAATTTTTTCAAAATAGCTCTTCTTTTAAGGCAATTTTAATTCATGGGAAATCGTTGGCGCTTGTTGGTCACCCTAAGTTTCTCCCCATGATCATTTCTCTAATTCATGTCTGCTTAAAAGAGTCAACCACCGGAGACCATCAAAATTTCCTTCATGTCTGACACTCAAAAGGTTTTGCCTTCGCCGCATTGATAGGACCTTTACAGGAGTACCCTTTTCGAACTTGACTACCACTCTGTCATGCTGTGTCTACTCATCAAAGGTAGAACCCTTCATAGTTTTTTTCACGTTTTTATTGGGAAGCACTGTCCAACTCCCAAGTTTACCATTTTCTTTTTGCTTAGTGTTGGCACTGTTGTTTCGGCGATCTGTAATCCATTCCATCTGCGCTTGTGCGCCGTTTCTACTGGAAATTAATTCGAATTTTTGCGCAACGTCAACACAACGTTGTCGTTTTCCTACATTTTAAATGGTATGAAACCAAACCCAAGACAACGCTGAACACAAACAGATAAAAATAACTCTGACCGGTTCGCAAACACTATTAGCTTAACTAACATTGGCGGGCGGAGAGTGGACTTCTAGTTCAAGACGAGAGGCAGTGGAGCGGCGCCTGCAAAATAAACTCTTCACATCAAGGGAGGTCCGAGAAGGCCGCGGAAAGTTCCAAGAAGCCCTGGAATTTTACATTTTCAGCTGAATATTGGAAGTGTCATTTCACCGCAACATTGTTTAAATTTTATAAAGAACTTAATCATTTAAAGCAAAGAATTTCTGAGAAGAAATGTACAAGAGACCATTTGATAAAAATTTAAATTAATGCTGTTGAAAAATATAAAACAATGTGAAAAAATGCTATAAATATTATTCATAAATAGTTTGTAAAGAAATTAATGGAGACGGTTTCATTAAAGGCAGTGATATTCTAGGAGGGTTAAAAGATAAAATAAATCCTCTGGGAATGCATTTACCAGGATATCAATATTGTGATGCGTTTACTAAATTTGAAAAAAAAGACTAGAAGAAGGAGATCCTGGTATAAATAGAATCAATAAAGCCTGTAAAGAGCATAATATGAAAGAGAGTAAAACAAAAGATACGAAAATAAAAGAGCAGGTCAAGAATTATTAGACGATTTAGATGCGATCAAAAACCCAACTATTGGAGAAAGAATAGGCAGAATTATAATTAAACCTATTATAAAAACTAAAGAGAAGTTTGGTATGGCAATTTCGATTTATTGTCTCTCATGTAATAAGAAAACAGGAACTGAAAATTATCATAAGAAACTTGGAAAAGGAAATTATGTACAATGTGAAAGTAAAATGAGTACTTTTTAGCCTTTTCCTGAAAGGTATTACGAAATTTGCACATAGAAATAGATGATTTTAGTGAAATTGGTGTATTTTGCTGCGTAATGTAACGCGAAAACTCTTAAAATAAGAATACATTACAACTGCATTTAACATTGAGTAAAAGGGTATCTCGGTAATTTGGCGACATTTTGTTCCGGTCCCTGTATCACCGTAATATGTATTGAAATTGAATAAAGTAATTGACCGCTATGTTAGTTGTAACCGTAATTCCAACCTCATATTGTTTTCCAGTAATTTCGAGAAGCAGAAAGTACTACAGATATCTCTGCGGCCGGTTGGAAACTAAAGCCGAAGAGAGAGCGTCAAGGACCCGGCAAAATTAACGAATTTATAATAGTTCCGACGATATGTCTATAAACAGGAGCCGATTTGCTTAGTTCTTGTTGTTGCTAATTGCTTAGTTCTTGTTGTTGCAATTCTGAGGGCTCCACGTGAAGTGAGATATACCAGAATTAGCTTTCTCTTTAGATGAGCTTTACATTGTGTTGTTTTAACGTCCTTAGTAGTTTGAAGTGTAACTACTGAGTGTACTGTGTGATACTGTGAACACTTGTATGAATATTTCTGTGGAAAATTCCAGAACTCTGAAATACTTTTTTGATAAAAAAATGTTATTAATGTGTAATCGGACCCGTGTGCATTCAATCTACTACGAACCCATACGCACACAACAATTTGTGGTGTCAGAAGGGGGATTGAATACCAGTGACAAGCAGCCTCTGCAGCATACAAAGAAGGGATGTAAGCGGGTTAAGCATCCGTTAAAAAAAGATGAAACGGGTCAAGAATCTATTAAAGCAGAGTTGAAAGCAGTTCAAGGAAAGATGGAAGAATCTGTTAAATCTGCCAATTTTTGGTGTCAGAAGCGAGATTGAATACCAGTTACAAGCAGCCTCTGCAACATACAAAAAAGAGATGTAAGCCGGTTAAGCATCTGTTAAAGAAGAGATGTATGCAGGTCAAAAATCCGTTAGAGATGAAACGGGTCAAGAATTTGATAAAGCAGAGATGAATGCAGTTCAAGCAGGATGGAAGCTGATCAAGAGGAAATGAAAAGAGAAATCACCTTCATAATAGAAAACAAATCTGAGGCTATGAAAGGCAGAAGGGACGCTGTTGAAAATAAAGTTGAACTCAATGAAAGAAGAGTTTCGTCTGTGAAAGAACAGATAAAAAAGAGAGTTTCACCTGTGGAGCAACCAATCGAAGAAAGAGTTTCTGCCATCGAAAAACAAATTGATGATAGGATTTCTCCAGGTGCGTAGCTAGAGTTTCCAGGGCCCAGGGACAACTGAAGAATTTGCGCCCCTTTCTGTGTGCCAAAAATGGAAAACATTTCATTAAAAAAATTCGCAGCAATAATTAGGCTTTGGATGCTGCGCCCAGGGACAGATGTTGCCCCTTGCTCAACCCTAGCTACGCCACTGGTTTCTGCTACCGTTACCAAAGAAGTTGACAACTTAAAGAAGTGCATAGCGACAGCAGGAAGCAA